TAACCATGCATTAGCGGTGAGATTGTAAGCTGCCTCGAGCACAAAGCCCTTCCGTAGCTGCGTGTAGTCGGAAAATGCGCCCTTTGCTTTTCAGAGGGTTTTTACGCAACTAAGCGAGCGCTGGAATGTTCGCCGTGTTTAGCGGATTCGTTTATGCTCCGTGCGTTAGTCGAGCTTTATGTCCTACCCCGGTTTCGCGATCGTAAACCCTAAGCTTGCAAATCAAGCAATTCAAGTTGTGCGTTTTTTTTTTTTTTTTTTTTGTGTGTTTACCGATTGGTCGTGGAACGACGCGGTAGCTCGTTTTTCTTGGCTGCGTATAAACGTATTTTATTCCCCCACTAACTTTTTTTTCTGTGTTTTTTTTTTTTAACTACAACGTTTACAAAAAAAAATGTAGAAAGTAAGACGGAGAGGGGAAAAAAAAAAAGGCCAATTTGAGCAATAAAGGAGAGTTGTCCAGTTTAGGTGCTGCGGTTTCTGGAACGCATCTCCGAGGCCCTGTTCAAACAGTCTGCTCAGTCTCGCCCCATAGCAACAACATTCTACGTTGGCATTCGAAAATCTGCCACGCTGTTAGCATGTGGATGTCTGTTTTTGTCACGTGGTTATGACCCGCTGGGGTAACTCTTCACGGGGGAGGGGGGAGGAGGAGGAGGAGGAGGGTTCGAGCTTGTCCAGCCTTAGGTTCAACTGGCTTTTTGAATTTTTTTTTTTTTTTTTTTTAAGCAAAGTTCGACGAAGTTCGATTTTGTACAGCGCCCCCCGACTGCCACGCAAACATTTTCGATATTTTGCGAGGATATGATACGGTTGTTTTAGGTTTTGCGCGGTGGAAATGTCAGTACGTAAAACTTTTGGTTTGGGTAGTTCGTTTATGAGAAACGGCGCACCCGGTACGTGTTGCACCCTTTCTCCGCTAAGTGGCGTCAGGTCGCTTTCGATTTCCGCGCATGTGCATGAATTATTTTGTTTCTTTCCTCGAATTTGCTGTTGAAGTTTGGAAAGTCGAACTTGGTCGAACTTCAGCCCAATAAAATCTGCCTTACGCAAATAAGAAAATAATAATACTAATGAAAAACAGGAAGCAAAGAACCTGGTCAGAAGCAACAGCCATAGAGCGTGGCCAATGGACTGGGGAAGATTCGTTGTGGATGGGATGAAGAGGATTTATGCGATTTCGAGGGAAGGGGGGCCTGGGGTACTTCTCTCTCGGCTTTTATTTTTTCTGCATGTGCGGGTTGTTGGGATGTGTGTTATTTTACGGTTATTCACTCCGCGGCCAGAGAGGAGAGGAGGCTAAGCCTTGTTTGCACAAGGAGTGCCCCCCCGTCGCGTGCTGCCGACCGAAGGGGGCCGGGCAACGTAAACAAACGTTCTCGCTCGCTCGTGCGTGGTTACAAAATCCTCTCTTCGAGGGTTGGGCAAAGGTTCTAGCCCCCCTCTACCCCCGGCGCCACGACCGCAGCGTCCGAGTGGGGATCAGCCGCGAAGCTCTCGATATAGCAGAAAGTAGTGCATAGCAAGAACAGTCAAGAAAACATGCTACTTCGTGGATCAATCGGTCCTCTTTTTTTCTGTCCGATCTCTCCTCTTCTAAGCAGTGTTTTTTCGTTGTATCTAGTTTTTAAGTTGTTTTTTTTCCCCCTCGAGGGCGGATAAATAGCGTCTTGTGTTTGCTTGTAGTCTACTGTTGAGCGCCTTGTGTTGTCTGACTTCGTCGGGGTCCTTGTTGTTCTTGTCGTTTTTATCCTTTTTCCAAGTTATGAACCAGCTGGCCCAATTAACCACTCCTCTGGAGTTCTGACAATCGCGCCTTCAGCGGCTGGGTTGGAATTTACACGTGTGGGGACATCAACAACACGAATTATTTGTCTGTGTTTTGTTTGACGCAGCGCTCAGCTGATGTAGCCGAGCGCTACATTCTGACGTGGCACTTGTGTCACTGGATTGAGTTAGGATGCTGTAAAGAATCCAGTCCACAGGCTTCGTGTTGGGTAAACGCCGAGCCCTGTGGTAATACAGGCTGGACGAATCACGTCCTATTGTTTGGTCTCCTCGTGCCAATAAAGGTCGCCCTACTGAAAAATCTCATTTGTATGGTCCAATAAACACATATGAACCATACAAGATATATAAGAATCATATAAGAACTATATAAGAGCGGTATAGGAGATCCAACACAACCCCTTTTTAAGACTCTGCATATCATTCCAGTTACCTACGTGTATGACTACACAATAATTTTAAGATACACAGCGGGCATTAAACTGAACAATCCTTTATTTCAAGAGATCGCTGGTCTAGCACGAAGTATAAATTTTTATTCTACTCGTAATGAGGATGTCTGGAAGGTACCATACAGCAGAACAAACTATGGAACGCAGATGTTGAGACACCACCTCCCAACATTATTGAACAATCTAAGGAGCAACAACTTCACCATAGAAACACTAACACCTCGTGCCATCAAAAATATGTTTCTGTAGCTCTCTTATTTTTGTATTGTGCCTCATGATATCAGTGTTCTACTTCCCAGTTACAAGTGTCTACATGTTTTTTTGTTATGTCTTTTTTTACTCGTCTTCCTGCTATATAATTAACGATTTTGTTTTCATTTTCCTACAATTTGCTTATCCGCCTCTGCCAAGGAAACGGGGGTGGGGCCCAGTCAAGCCAACATGTGTTGGCTTTTTGCCCATGCCCCTGTCGTCTGTACATATAGACGAAATAAACTGATTCTGATTCTGATATCAGAACATATAAGAACCATATATGAAGTTTCTTATAAGCTGCTTTAATGGTTCTTATATATCTTATTTAGCTCTTATATACTTCTTATACGATTTTTATATGGTTCTTATACGTTCTTATATATCTTGTATGATTCATGTATGTTTATTGGACACGAGAAATTTCGCATGCAAATAGATTTTTCAGTAGGACGACTCGTTTTTTTTTTGACAATGTTTTACAGCTAACGTAGAGATAGTAATCGTGTACGCATTGGATCGAAGTCGGAGAGCTTCACAGTAGGCACATTGGACACGTCATCTGTTTGTTTCAATACGCGTGCGCGACTGTTTTTGAAGGTGCTAATAAAACATTACAGGGCTATTATAAGTATCGAGAGTGAGGTGGGAGTAGAAGTTTCCATCGAACTAAAATGTCAGATTGGTCTCGTCGAGCCCCCTTTGAAAGGCAATTCGTCCGAAGCTAATGTTGCAGTGATGGAAGTGATTGACGAATTGCGCCGTAAACGATTGCTACATTGTGCGCCGAAGTGCCCTTTTTACGAAGATTTCCGCCTTACCTCCGCTGAGATGGGCGTAAGCAAAGCAAAATAAAAAAAAAATAAAAATTATTATCGGTTGACATTAATATCCAGAGAAGAGGAGTGAAACAAAATTGTACAAATATGCATTTCACAGCGTTCCCACTTACCGTGCCGTATGTTTCATCTTAGGTCAGAGCACAGTCGAAGGCACGAACACTTGGACGCACGTATACTAAAAGCGCAAGTCCCAGGGTATTCGCTGCACTTAGTTGGTTTAGTCGATAAGAAAACCTACAGGAAGATGGACGAATGCCATGATGTCGCGCTTTGGTGCTGTTTCGTTGGTGCGATCGACTCGGAGCATCGGCTGCTCTTTGAATTAATCGTGTGAATCGAGGTTTAGACATGGCTCGTCAACCAGGGTGAGTTGATCGCCGACATAGTGTGCATTTGCAGACGATGTCGGCGACGTCGGGAGCTAGAAGTTGCGAGGAAACGTTGCAAGATAGTAGGATGGCGGTCGGTGTGATGTAAGACAAAACGAGGGTCTTGTACTTTTGATGAGATCACTCGATTATCAATGTCTGCCGCCTCTGACCAGCGCGCAGAGCGCCGAGCTTCGCCGCTTTGCACCCGGGTGCTAGGAGCAGCGGCTGACACGGGTGAGCTGTTTCGGGTCTACCTTTGTCGTATGCTTGAATAGATGCGGTGGTAGTTCCCGTGTAGCTATCGATCGAAGGAGCAGCGAGCTTTGAATTCATTCTAGTTCAAACGTCACTAAAGGGCATTGTTACTTTTAAAGCAAAAGTGTAGGCTTTCACATTGCTTGTAGGTGGTTGTTTTTGCAGTTTATAATATCAGTCTTGAGTTGGGTAAGTTCGTGAAACTTGGCCCGGGAGCCAAGTTCGGGGGAGGGGGAAGGGGGGGGGGCACATTTTTATTGATAGACATACTTTATCGGATGTGCTGGTTTTTGCAGTGATTTTACAGAAATGATGTTTACGTGCTAAATAAACTATGGGGTGTGAAAGTGGGAGAAGGGAGGGGCTTTATCCCAACTAAAGTGTTGAGCTGATTCAGTTTTAAATCATGTTTTCAGTACCTGTTTTAAATGGAACCTGTTCCGACCAAAACCTTATTACAAAAAAACACATACACACACTTTGTGCTTTATTTATTTTTATCCCAAAATGTAATAACTTATTCCAAAAGGTAATAAGTAGTATGTTCCAATATCAGAGGTGAGCACTCAAACAGAATCAAATTTATAACTTTTTTTAAATATTCGACTGATCTGCTGAGTGCTGACGGACGTTGGCATCTGCTCCAAAAGCGTCAGTTACTGTTCCAAGCCAATATTTTGCCTGCTACATAACCTGCTACAAACGGATAAATGCCACTTCCATTACTGATATTGCCATTGTGGCGTGGCACAAGAAGCGAACGAGGAATAATCGATTTCATATAATTTCTCCTTTTGATACATCGAATAGCGTTGCTTCGTCATTTGCACGCTGCTTGTATCCGTGATTTTTTTTGGCTCTTATCGCGGATGTTTTTCCGTTCCAAGATGGAGAGTATCCATCAGCATTCTCGCGTGATGTTTTCGGTAGCGTTCTGCCGACCGTCTGTCCAGTGTCGGCTCCTTTTTTTAACCTCTGTTAGTTTGCGGCGCGGTCGCTGATTTATTTTTCGTTTAATCTTTCTTTCGCTTTGCTTTTTTTTTTTTTTTTTTTTTCTTCTAGTTTTTATTGGTTGGTATTTTCGTCTGAACCGAGCCATCCAGATTGCACGCCTGGCCTGTACAAACAAGCCAGCCCGTCTGTATATAGCCGCCGAAGCTAGTTCCCGCCATCTTGAAGCCATTACAGACATGGCGTTTTGTTTATTTTTGTAACGGTCTCCCTCTTTTTTTCTTTTTATTAGTTCTTCTTTGGCAGGCTCTGTGCCCGGAGTTTATTTTTCCAGGGCCTCGCGCTTTAAAACAATGACGAATTGCGCGGGACATCGTGCAAGCTGCGGCATCCAGGATATTTTCTACGAGTTCTCTATCGGATGTTGTAGTAGCGTAGCACGATAAAGATAAGCCCGGTTGTTGCAGACGACAGAGCGGGGTTATCGAAAGGAGACGTTGTAAAATGCCGGCGAATAAGTTGTCCGTACTCTGCGTGAAGTGCGATACGCTCGCAAGGACGCGCCGTACCCTCCCTCGCCCCACGCAGTCTCTGTGACTCCCGCCGTCTGCAACAAGTGCCGCGAGCCTTGCGGCGACGCGGTCGGAGAGGGCGAGGGGACCACTTCTAATGAAAGTTTTTTTGTTTTTCTTTTCTCCCTCCGGGTTGAGTTTCGCCCAAGCGTCGCAAAGAGCCCGTCGTTTTATTTGATTTATTTAGCTGTAAACGCGCGGCGAACGCTCTCAAGGTTGTCTCCGCAAAGTTTGTCTCCATCATCGACGTCGGTCTCGCTCGTCCCCCTGAATGGCGGCTGCGCATGGCTTCTTCTCTCGCCGCCATTTTCCGCTCCTCCGAGTCGTCACGTGACAACTTGCGCGGTTCGTGTCACGTGACTTTCAATCGGACCAATGGGACGCTCCGCATTCTCCCGCGTTGACGGAGCGGCACCTGCTGTTGAGGCTAAATCCACGCGCCGTCTGCTTTTGTATGTGGATACATTTTTCGTTTTCTCGCTACGGAGAAGGGAAGGGAGAGGCGAGCAGATGAGCGCGTTAGTTCTGCCGCCGGCCGCTGCGTAGCGCCACGTTTGCGGAGTGGCGCTGGGGTCGCGTGTACCCGCCGTGCACCGCGCGTTGCCGTCTGCTCTGCGGGCCGACTTGGTTTCCTAGGCGCTTTTCCTTCATAGCCTGCCAAGTCACTTCGCTCTCGATCGTTCTTCCTAGCGGTCCGTCCGCCTTCCCCCCTTTTTTTTCTTTCGCTGTCAAGTATATATTATATTTTTTTCTCCACCGAATCTCTCTCTATTAGTCTTCCCTGTGGAAACCCACCTAAGACACCTTCGTAACCTTATCATTTTTTTTTCTTAGCCACAAAGGCACCGCGCGAGCGAATACAACTACAACAAAACAAGTGGCTTTGCTTCTACTCCGCTGCTGGACTCGGTGAACATCATCAGCTCTTCATCTTTTCCTGGCCTGACTGTTTTTCTTCCCAAAAGAAAGAAGCCGTTTCTCGTCTGCGGGTTTATGTCTGTTCGGGCGCCGTGGATTGTCGTCGTTGGAACGTAACAGCGGACTTGTCAGAAGCTAAGGATCCCTACTCGCCTGTCGACGACCGTTCGCGTGGCTTCATCGCTGTGGTGTGTGACATCTGTGTGGTTTTCGGTGTTTTTGTGACTGTCGTGCGCGAATCCGGCGGCAGGTTTGTTCGTTGACGAGAGCCGGAACCCTCCCTCTTTGAGATCTGCGAAGTTTGTGCGAAGAAACTGGTTGCTACGGGCCAAAGCAGAGTTGGAAGATTTCGGCCTTGGGAGGAACGCCGGTGTCGTTGAATTCGACGAATTCTCGTCGTCGATAGACTGAGGGTACTTTCGATATATTTTTGGTTGTGTTTCCCACACCGGTGAATCGTGGAAGTTGTTGAAAAGTGTTGAAAACGAGCAGGCCGAGGAAGAACAAAACATCGCTTTGGAGTGTCAAGCGGGATCGTGCGTACTCCATACTGCGACGGCGTCTTCGGCATCTTCGGCGAGTGAGCTGCGAAGGCGAAGGAATACCGACGACTGGCTTCACGTAGTTTTTTTGTTTTTCTTCTTCCTCACGACCTTATATTTATAATCTTTCTTCTTTTTTTTTCTTCGTGAGGTGCAGTTTTTGTTGCATTTTTTTACCCCTCTCGCTTGCCCCTGCGACCTGTACCACCAGCCGCGTTCGAAGAAAAAGCAGCATGGTAAGCTTCTCTCCCCCATTTTTTTTTCTTTTTTTTTTTTGCATGCGTAGTTTTAAGTGTTGCTTTTCTTTTTTTTTTTCTGGGAGAGGAGGCGTTTTGTAAGAGTGTGAGAAGTGTAGGTTTCTGTTGCTACTCTCTCCCGCTTTTTTGGGGGGTGAGGAGGTGTTCGTAAATGGGCGAGGGTGTAGCTTCGTCGCCTCGTTTTTATGGGGTGGAGGAGGGCACGTGGTAAGAGGGTGAGGGTGTAAAGTGAGCTTGGCCTTGGTCGAGGTTAAAGTTTCTTTCTTGGAGTCGTGAAGAAGAAGGGGGGCAAGCAACCTGTACGAAAAGAAGAAGAAAAAGCGTGGTGGGGACGGGTTTTTCTGTCTCGTGGGGTGAGGGGTTTTCTTCCCCTTCTTCCTTCCTTTTTTGAAGAATGTGGGTGAGGACTGAAGGTGGTGCATTCGTGCCCACTGTTCCTTGCCGTTTTGAGCCATCTCTGAAATGTTTGTGTGTCTGTGTGTGTGTTTGAAGGTATGGAGTGCATGAAACCCACCACCGCCTGCTTGTCTAGCGGTTGTTGCCTCCGGTTTTGTGGATTTCCATCGGTGCTGAGGGGAGGGTTTGAGGGAGGGGGTGTGCCGAAGAAGGGGAGGGGGGAAATCTGGTAATGTCCCCCCTCATCGCGATCGATGCCGTCGTGGTCTTTCGGCTGCTCCCCCCCCCCCCCCCCCCCCCCCCCCCTCTCCGAGCTCTGGTGACATAATTTCGTGGCCGCCGCTGTGCTTGTCTAGGTCTTTCCCTCCCTCTCTTGTTTTTCTTTCTCGGTGGGGGGGTCGATGTGGTGTGGTGGTGGTATTCAGGTCGGTCGAGTCATTTTTAAAAAGAAAACGTGTACGGCCGCTGCGGCGTAGTCTCGTGAGTGAGTGTGTGTGTGTGTACGAGGCGGGGAAGGTCAACATTCCTGCCGAATCGAAAGGAGGGAATCATTTTGTTTTTTTTTTTTGTTTTTTTCGAGCTCCCTAATCTGGGATTGTCCGCATTGACGGTCTCGAGAACAGGCTCGTTGTGTTGGTTAGTTGGTTGCAAGGAAATCAAATTTCCATCTCCTTTGTTCTTCTGAGGAGCGGAGATGCGTGGCGGCACTAACTACAATCCTCAAAACGTCATTTTTTTGTTTTGTTTTGTATTTGGCGAGCCAGATAATAGGATCTTGGCACTATTACCATCGTCTAACATTAATTAGGACGACGACAATCATATATGTATAACGATCTAAAAATAAAACTGCAACCCCGCAGCGTTGTTGACTGAACCGCGGCGTTCTTGTCGGGCGTTTCCTCTCGCTGTTTGAGTGTCGCGTGACGGCGGGCTTTTTTTTTTTCTACGTACCCATTTTGGAGGTCAAGGTGATCCTAAGCTGTCGTCGAATCTGCAATTGTGTCTAGGGGAGGTCGCGAACTTTTCTCGAAGCTGAAACTCGACTAATTTTAACAAACCTTCGACATTTTTTTTTTTTTTTTTTCTTTTTTGACAAGGTTGGACGGACGGAGGACTTGTTGAACAATGTTTCCCAACTTCAATGTAAAAAAAAAAAAAAAAAACAAAAAAAAAGTTAATTTAAATGGTAGTTTGTTGTTTGGCGAGGAGATAGAAGTACGGTGGGCGGGGTTTTGCTCAAACAAGTCCAGCTTGTTTGAGCAAAACAAAAATTAATAGTGCCCTTTTTTTTTTTTTTTTTGCGTTCGCGTTTTGCTTTATTGTTTGGACACGAGCCCCGGCCAAACGCTGACGTAAAGTTCGGCTACGTGGGCCGAAGCGCTGCTTTCAAAAACACGGAACAAATTTCATCTACGTTGTTGTTGTCACGAACTGCTGATGTGTGAGAGCGCATGCGCAGTTTGTGCCGGAGGGCCCATGATCGTACCGTATCCGATGTGCCAAAAGAGGTTCCCTAAAACTCCTTCATAGGGAGGTTTTCGCGTCCCTCAAATGTCCGCAATCCGCTACGCAATCCACCACTACTGCTGCTCTGTCACCGCCAGGATCGCGATCGGCGGCAGCGCGACGCTTTGATGACGTCATCGGGCTTGAATTTGAGGGACGCACCGAGTCGTAGACGTGGTCGACTTCGACGCAGCGTGATGGAAGCGATCGTGATACGCGGTCTTTTTTCTGCCCCGATTTGCTTTCACGGTTGCCGTCGCAGACGCTTCTCTCGCAGACGCCTGGAATCCCAAATGTCCGGCCCTTGTCGTGGGGGAACGTAGCAGCAGCTGCTATTGTAGTTGTAGTACTTGCCGACCTTGGAGGGTTTTTTTTTTTTTTTTTAATCGCCGATTGCCTCATTAATTATGTCCTCTTTATTATCTCGGTTAGTTATCTCGCAGCCGGTTCGACTTGGTTGAGGAGCCCAAAGGAATCGTTCGAGGTTGTACTTAGGAATTCGAACCTTGCAGCTTCGGCCGAGAGTGCAGGTTTAGATTGATGTACTATTATCTATAATTAATGTATTTTTTCTTCGTGGAGCAAGGTTTAAAATTTAACCTTCAATTTTTAGATTTTTCTTTTCGGTGGTCGTTCCGTTGGGTTTACGCAAAATACCGCCTGATGCGAGGACAATATCTAACACCTAACAGTGTTAGATATTTTCTGTCTAAACTATTCGGGCTGCTGATTAACAGGCGCCATAGTTGCGCCACCTTCTATGGCTCGTGTACCGCGTTTTCTGGGCTGTAGTCCCTTTTTCCCGTGTGGTCGTCGCCATCTTGAATCCTGGAACTTCCGGTATGGGGTCACTGTTTTACCCGCGCCAGGCGACCGAAATGTGTTCACGTTTTGATCACGATGGCCAATCCTTCTTGTTTTGCATCTTCTATATTTCTTTTACTCGTTGCGGATTGTAACGTTTCGATGATAATGCAACGGTGCAAGCGACCTGAACAAATGTCTCGCTTTCTTTTTTTTGTCTCCCTTCTTTTTTGTGCTTTCATACCTGATATGTGCACTATGTAACTGAGGACGAGGGCAAACACGTAATGCCTATAGTTTTGTGGCATTTTCTACTAGAGGAAACGCGCGCGTGCGCAGTCTCGATCGGCTTTCATGCACGCGCGTCCCTACACTTGACTGCGTAGCCACATGACTCTACCACGGCACACCTTGACAGGTAGCCGCTTTGTTAGCTCACAAAGACGCTTGTGGGATACATAAATTATGGTCATTATACACGGTCATTCGCAGAATATGTCACCTCTCGGTGGACTATCTAGATAATACAAATCATCGCATAGTCCGCATATGTGGGCCGTCAGCAACGGGGTTAAAATCTCGGCTTTTACACGCGTGCGCTTCGCGGACTATTGTCCGAAAAACGCGGTACGCGTTGTCTGCCGAGATGTACGGAAGTTCTCGTCCCAATTAAAGTGAGGGTCTCCCGCGGCGGTCTGTTCACGACGGGGAGGGATGCGTTGGCGAAAAGACCCGATGTCGTCGTCATCCTTCCTTTTGTTCTCAGGAGATGCGTCTTTGTTTTAAAAACGCGTGTCTCGGTTTGAAGGTGCTCGTCTTTGTTTTGCGCCCATTGCCGACGAGTGACGAATGAAGGGGATCTGTCGGCCTCGGGGAGTGTCCTCGCTACAGGAATACGGTTTCACTAGTATTTGAAGCGCCATCTAGAAGCTGCCTTTCAAAAGTGTATTCCTCGGAGACGCTGCCGTGAAGCGCTTTCTAGACTCTGTGCCTCAAAACCCGCGTAACTGCAATTCTGCTCCATCAAGGTCGCCGTGCTTTGCAGGTGATAAGTAGAAGGTTGACCCGAGTTGGCGGGGGACCTCGGCCATACCAGCCATAACTCGAACGAAGCTCTTATATGCATAGCTTGCGAGTTTACTGACGGTTCGTTCTACTTACTGATTCGCTCGAGCTACTACTACTGCTTCTCTGCGGTGGGGTGATTCTAACCCGGTGAGCCGAACGCTCGTGGGGCACATAAAATACCGGCACGGCCGCGAATGACGTTTGCGGGCAAGCCATAGGGCGTACACAGTCGTCGGATATTACTACTAGGCGAGGTTGTTACACGCGTTGATGCCGCCAAGCGGCAACGCTCGTCGCAGCTGCAGTACGTACCCTTGGCCGTGCAGGAGCCATTGACGTCACGAGCGCGGTACGCATTGCGCTTCTCGCTGGCCTATTTTGAAGCGACAGGTGGAGAGCTCGAGGGCAACGTCATTTCGTTTCCGTACCCCATTTTAATTCGAAAAAAAAAATAAAATAAAATGTGCCTCATTGGGAGAAAGTTGGGGATGTGAAAATATACTAGATTTGAAATTTGACAGTTTGCTTGCTTCGGCTGACTTATGTCGAAGGGGGAGGGGCATCGTGTCGTATCGGTTATCACTGGCTATAGTACGCAGTGACTTGATTTTGCTGCGCCACTTACCCTGCTACATCTTGCTACATTTGGCCCAAATGAGAGGAACTTGCACCCACGTCGCGCCAAAACTTGATTGCACTTCGTTAAATACTGAAAATATGATGGTGAGGCCCCGCCACGCGTCCGGGTCGTTATGGTAGGCTCGTGCGAATTTTCGGAACTTTCAGTTTTAGACGCAAATAAGGCACTGTCCCGTTGGATATGTTTATCAGTGTCAGGCACTGACAGTACTCGGAATTTTCGCAGTATCTCTTATGTGCCTCGTCTGCTCTGGCGTGTAAGTTAGCTCCGTTAAGTGCGCTTCTCGACGCGCTCTTGTGTACTGCGGTGAAGCGGTAACCGCGAAGTGAGCATCGCACTTTTTGCTTATCTCGCTTCGCCGCAGTGCATCCGAGTGCTGAAGGGAAAGCACTCCGCCAGAGCGGGACGTTAAACACGCAAGCGTGGGGTACGGTATATTAAAAAAGAGGAACTTTATGAGTGTTAATGTGACAGCTCTTAGTTCTAGTAAACATTTCCGAATTATACTGTGGTTATTTATGATAGACTGCGGTATTCTAGCGATATCTTTTTTCAAATTCGT